AAGTTTGTAACTTGAACTTCTAAATTGTGAGAGGCACTTATTTTCAAAGCTAAACATTTCGAAAAATGCATTTGTCTCATTGAAGCTACGTAGTAAACATTTAAGGACACTAAGGCATTAGTATGGAGATAATTGCTTTCAATGCCTCTGTGAATTTTGAACCCCGTGATTGAAGTCAAAAACTGTTCTAAAACGAAAAAATACATGTACTATCAAACACTTCTTTCACATGTAGACGATAGATGCATTGGTGGAACTCGGAAATAGTAGTTCACCCTGCAACCTGTAAATGCCGTGGACTCACACATACTTATAAAAACCCAGAGTTAATGGCCTAGTATAATGCGTACGTCTACCCACTCCAATGCTGACACACTTCAATAGAAAATATCATAGCAACACTAATTAATATTTTTCATATTATCCCAAATTCAGAAAATAAAAAAAACACAAAGAGTAAAATGAAACTTTACGGTTGTCCTTACTGTGGGTTCATTTACATAAGACTTCATAAAAATATATCGGATATCAAGTTGTCAGGGATCTAGTTTCAATCACACAGTTGATTTAGTTTATCACATAATAACATAACATAACATATAAAACAGTAAATATGTAATAATAACTACTGATTTATAACACATCTACTAATGAAAGTACTTATGTTGCCTGGGTTAACTACCCATTCATTCATAATAAAACATGCATAACAAATATAAACCAAACCATTACATTGGTAAATCACTATAACTAATAGTTGATGGTATGTCGTGTGGCATGAACATTGAATTCAACATATATTATACAAATGTCCAAACAGTCCAATATTATTAGGGTTTTTAGTTTGTATTTGTTTAATTCCGGTTTTGACATCAAACTCGTAAATGATTAATATTACAGCAATGTCTCTACGCTAATACAGCCAACGTATGTGATAAATATATCAATAACGGTGTTTTTTAGGTAGATTGTAGCATTATGTACGTAAGATGTCCTTGTCTTTGCAAGGGCAATAATCAAGGATTCCGTAGGACCCGTTAAGCAAGTGAAAACGGTCGAAACAATTAACTGACTGGCGTGACGCCGGTCATATGCATGTTTAATCGTTGTTTACAAAAAAAAACTTCAGATTTTGTTTAACCATTCTGATATTATTATGCTCAAAACGCGGTCTCCGGCGAGTCAGTATTCACTGTGGCTTTTTTTTGAGGGCACGTAAGCATCGCAGCCATGCCCAAATTTCCTGTGACCGTAAAATAAGACGGAAGCCAGCGTAAATCGATCAGCCAGCTACACACAGGTGAACCGACGATTTTCGTTTAGATCCCGATATTTTCACCGGAACTCGAACTGATATTTGCTCACGATCTGGTCTTGCTATTACAAACTCAACACACGTGGAAGAAACACTGAACGAATATATAATCAGAAATTTGTAAGAAAATGTTACCTACCTGATGTAAGCGAGTCCTTATTCGGAGACTGTTCTCCCATAGTATTACCAAGATTAAAGACATCCGCCATTACTCCCAATATTTAAACTGCATTCAAAGACACGCCGTTTGAGGGCGCACCATTAAAACATTTTTTGGGGCGATTCAACTTCAATTTGAGAGGCCGAGAAGACAAACTTTTTTCTTTTTTTCTTAATTCTCCCACACGTTAACTTCACTCTCTTCTTGTTTTTGTTTTTTTAATATAGTTCTTCTACAATTATAACGATTTGTATTTGTTGGTTGCTCATGAAATTAACAATAAAAAAACAATAAAAAAACAAACATTTGCAGGATGGTTTGCAGGAACATTTTTGAGGGCGCTGTTTTGTCGACGCGAATCGTCGTCCAGACCTACAAGTCCAGACTGAACAAACGGAAATCCACCAAAGAACGACAAAGTCATTTTGAAGTACAGGGAGAAAAGGATTATTGATGAGGTCCCAAGAAGACTGGAGACACAAACAGAACTCCAATGTTTCATTAGGGAAGAAAAGTCTTATGATATTGACCATGACAGAGGCTAACCAACGTAGATAACATCAAGTGATGGATTGCCAAACATTTCAAGTTCCTGGCACTGTGATCGCAAATAAAATAAATTCCTAATTACATTTTAATTTTCATAATATATTTGATAATTTGTGTTTAAGAAATAAAATTGGAAATTGCATTAGAATCACGACATTCAATGTAGAAAATGCTTTTTACACTTTATACACTAACATTAAGATCTGTGTACAAATTACTGACAAATAAAATAGCTGATTATATTTTACACCTTGTCCATGTCTACAAATTTACGCTTTTTATTTATTTAAATTACATTATCACGAAAATAAAAAAAAAATTATCACAGTTTACGAAAATATACTCTTCGAATATAATTTATACCAGAGCCGTAACGACCAACGTGTCTAAGGCCAAAACAAGGGTCCGTAGCGTCTTTTATTTACAAGTGCCGTAAGCGGTCAAGGCCGAACCGTCCTGGCACCCCCATAAACACAATCCTTTTATAGGAACACGTGTATAGGGAAGAAATGTGTTAACTCCTTGTTGGATTTTGCAAAGAATTGTGGGATAGAATATTGAACTGTAGAGGGCGTTTTTTTTGGGGGGGGGGCTCGGATCTTTTCCATAAAGCCCTATGTTAAAATCAGCTTTTCGCCTCTCCTGTTTTCAAGCAACGCGTTTATTTTTTAAACAAATTTATGGTTATATTGTTAGAATTTCCATTAATTTTACTGGGAAGATTGTTTTGAAGATTGTTATTGAATTATTACTGTTTTGTGCTGCAAGCTATCTTTTAGCGGGGTTCTATACTTTACCAAGTGAGTGCGCCCTCCTCGCATATATGCATCTTCCACGGCCAAGTTCCGTTTATAGCGAGTTGGCCAACTCCTTAGCACTAGAGTGCGAGAAAAAAAGTAAAACCGGTATCCATGGAAATGAGCATGGTTACTTTTTTTTTAAGATCTGAAACCGAATTCATGCATGTGTATATCATAACAATACTTAGTTACTAGTATACAAGTTTATTATTACTTTGGGCGACGGGGCATGTTCGGCAAATGTATGATATCAAAGGTACATTACTTGATGTCGTGATAGCGATTGGATAGCAGTAAAGATTGGGTCGTTTGTACGCCATGTTTGTGACGTTCTACCCTTTAAATAAAACCAAAACCGTCTTTAATTTCGTGAGTTTTAAAGCGCCAATGAAAAAAATATTTTCCAATGGTATTCTTTAACCACTGAATGTATTAAACTTACAAATCATAATTGACTTGCATACAGTCTCTTGTTTATTTTGTGGGTGTATTTTCAGTAAAATGAAATATCATTGGAGTGAATAAACATATTTTATTTTATTGAAAAAAAAATAAATAAACAATAAACTGAATTCAATCCAAATTCATTGTACATGCGTGTGTTCCTTCTCATTTCTTTGTTATAAAAAAATAAATTAAAAAAATACACACTAATTAGTATTCTTAGACACCCTCATACATATTAGAAAGCTTGAAAGAGAGAAGTAATGATGACTATGATTGACTGCTTTCGGAATATTGATCACAAAAAAGACGAGAGAAAATTGTGTACTGTAAATGCATTAAATATTAATTATCTTCGCCAACAAGTAAAATTAAATCTACCAAACATATAAGATAACACTAAAACACATTGATTTAAAACACTGACAGTGAATATGCTCAAAACATCAAAATACTAGTAATAAAATTAAATGTCAGAGAAAATAAATGATTTTACAGAATTTTGTCGCAATACGCGGGATAATTAACAAAGTTTATGATCGTAGTGTTAGGGGGTCTTTTTTAAAACAAGTGCTTGAAAATACTCATGGTTATAATCACGTGACCAAAATCACGTGCTGTAAAAAAAGTTGGAACTACATATTCAAATATTGTTTTATTTCCAATGCGTGTGGCGATACATCGTATAGTAATTCAAAGCTTCTATGGCCGTCTGCCGCATGTGCAGGTGACGACACCCCCGGTTTAAAAGTGCCGTCGCGTAGTGCGTTCGATTATAGTGTGATGACACATTTTTAATATTCCTTGATGGCAGGAGATTTTTAGCAATTTTCTAAAGACAGGAGAGATTCTGAGCAATTTCATGCATGTGTGAGAAAATGTTGAGATATTATCGAAGGGGGTAGAGCATTGTAAAACTTTAAAAGGGTGGAGTAACTTCCTAGATTTTGCTCGAGGAGACGCGTTTAATTGAGACTAATCAGAAAAGTCAAGCTATCAGAAAATACAGCATTTACACGTATTGGGGAGGGAGGAAAACAATGTTCACGTTAATAAAAAGAACTCTATACAAACAGTTTGCCAGAGGGGCAAATTCGCTGAAACATTTCGCAGGCAAATCAAAAAAAATCCGGGGTTGTGGAATTCTACAACTGTGAAATATGCTATGAAGAACTTTCATTTCTCTTGTCTTTAGTCTAAATTAGCCATCCTATTTTTCTAGACCTGTAAAAATGTATTTCGTCATGGAAAGAACACGTTTAAGCACAGTCCCTCTATAGACTATGGAGGTTCTGTGAGTCTTCGAAGGTGATCTGTCCAGACAAATTCGCTGAACTGTGCGTCAGATCACGTGACCCGACTGGGCGTGATTGAGCTTTGAGATTGCGCGTAGAGGCGGGGACCAGCCGACGGACCAGCCAGTCCAGACAAAATGCGCCCTCGTACAACAACGTGAGATTCGAGAGCATGCCGAGATTTAGAACTAACACAGGTCACGGAGCAAACTACTATTTTTCTATGATATAAAGGGGCGTTTCAGAAAAAAAGTAATGTAGCTCAAAATTGATTTGTCAGTTCTAAAAAAAAGAGAATTATGATTATTTAACCAATTACTCCCAATAAATAAGCACTTACGTTCACGTAGTGTTACATTGTTCCCAAGATAACCCGGTCCATCTTCCCTACCAAATAATGGTTCATTTCAGTCACATGATTTTCACTCACCTGAAAGAACTACTTCCTGTTCATGTGTGTTGATGTCGAGAACCACGTATAGCGGGACATTTTGCGGTAATTTTCAGTCACCATGAGTGTGGAAGTATTATATTTATTCTTATTTTTTGCTGTTTGTTTAGTGTGCTCATCGAATGCAGACTGTACTGTCGAAACTACGAAAGAACAAAAATATATCTCGATGTTGGACCCGATCAAAGGCTCTATGTAAGTACATAACGAACACTGCGTTTATTAGTTGTGTTTTGACCGGTGTTTCAATCATATTTTAAAATAATATACAATTACGACATCCAACGCCTACATAATTTGTGGGGGAACGGGTAATTATTGATTCCCATACATTCACTGTCACTGAGAGACTGTTATTCTGTTTTGGTTCATCTATCATCTGTATAACCGGCCATGCAGCTGAACGAACCGATCGACTATGTTATCGTGTCCGGATTTGTGGGAGGTGTCGTTTGTTATCACAAACAATGTGTTTTTTTTTAATTTGCCGGTACTCGCACATACACATATACACTAGTTATTGAAATCTTTGTTGACTATTTCCATAAGTGAATAGTGAAATAAAGGTTTTTGAGGTGTTTCCCCAGGACGTTATGGACCGGGGTTATGGATTAGGAGTCCCAACTCTCTTTGGATAAACTATAGAGCTAATTCAACGTATCAATAAGTACAATAAAGTAATTAACACATTGTACTGTTATACAAATTAGTTGATACTCTATGCTATATTTCTAGTGAGGAACACTGATTCTCATCACTACCAGTAGTTGATTATCATCCTTTCTCTCATTTCATCTTTTTGTTGGTGCAATATCTGTTTACAAAGCTGTTTACAAAGCTGTTTAAATAGATAGCTTTACTTGTTCATCTGATTCTTCCCTTATATTTGTAATTGTTCACAAGATAAAGTTCAGAAATACTTTTCTTACGATGTATAGTAGAAAATAGAAAAGAGTTCCTTTTGAACCCCCAACTCTAATCCTACCTCTACCCTCAAGCGCTCACTAATTTAATTATATAGGCCCCTCCGAAAGACAACTCTAATTGTTTAGAGGGATATATACAAATGAATTTGAGGGCTTGGGATGTGAGTCAGAGTTGGGATTAGGGAAAAGAACTCTTTCCCCAAACTAAGGCAATAATTGTTATAATCAAGCACATTTATTACATTACCAGCTGTGCCCTCTGGTACACACACATGTGGTTTCATTAATATATAATGTACGTATACTTACGTGTACATATTTCGTGCATGGTAGATTACCCAATTTGGCAACCAGGGTGTTAGGTGATGTGGGTCTCCTGCAAAATCCATTGCGAGCAGTGTAGCATGGATAAAAACATCTATTTTATATTGTTTTCTGATTTGATTGTATATTTACGTGTGCAAGTAGATGTAAACAGTGATTTATTGCACTTATCAAAGCTGTATGTGTATATTATCAATATTTATGAATATTTTACAGATAATTTCATTCAAATCAGATCAGGAAGTGGTGACTAAAATATTATACATTGTACCAAGTGAGGGCAAGCAATGTATCAGTGTCAAATTTACATTCACTTCAGCTATTAAAATCAACAAAATTTGTGGCTTGGCTGTCAGTTTTAAAAGCTGATATTCCCATAGTAATATTGGATAATTTAGTAGCTAGTTTGGTAGATACTTAGAACCAAATGTATACCAAGAAATTAATGTTTTTATTTTGCTCACTTTGTGTAGGACACCTAAGCTTTCAAGACATGCTGCATTATGGGAAATCAATTTCCCATCAATTTTTTTTAGCTATTCATATAGGTTTCTGTCTTCATCCATCCCACATCTGCATCGACTTTTGTTATAAATGCCTTCTTCTTGAAAATTTTGATATTTGTTATGTAGTAACCATGGGCAACCTTCTGTACGATTTGTTCATTTTGTGACAATATCGAGAATTTTATATTTTTAACAAATAGTTTTGTAATTTTTTATTAAAAATTGATAATTTCTTCTTTCTTGAAAACTACTTTAATACTTTAATACCTTAGTAGAATTGTCCGATTTATATCCAGATGATAACAATTGTAATTGTCATGGCAACAATGATATAAAGTACCGTGGTAACAATAACCATGGCAAATAGCATTCAGCTTTGTTTTGAGAAAGACACACAAAGAGCTACTTCCAGTGAGAGGTTGCTTTTTATAAGTTAGAAACGTATCCTATTTGGGTTACTGAATTTGAGAAATAGTCACCACTACTCCAGAGCGTGTAGTCTGTGCGCGTTTGGCTACGGCTAAGTTTCAGGCCCACAATGTATGTAAACTATAGGCCACAGAATAAATGCCTGGATGAATTAAAGTGACTGCATGAAAATATATTTTCCTTTTTTTGTTTTACTTAGATTTAAAATAACAGACGAGTCAGCAAACTATACGTATGATATAAGTATATGCGCACCGCTAAAAGATGTTGGTGATAGCGATGTTGGATGTTATCAAAGTAATCCCCAAAAAACAAATGGCAAGATAGTTGGTAGAATAACAAAAACAGATATAAAGACAGGAAGTAAGTATCATTATAAGGAATTGAGAATAATAACTAATTGAGAGGACACCATCCCTTTCAACGTCTGTCATCCACAGGTCATCAAGCAACAACGTCTCTTCTACAAATAGATGAAATCTTTTAAGCAATTTCTTTACATAGAAATATACAAACCCTAAAATTGTGCCTATTGCAAAACAATTCAACCATCAACCAGTTTGATGTTTCTTGCTGGAGTGGGTTCTACGCATGTTTTTATTGCGTTCTAAATAATTTCATTTCAAACTGCACGTTCACACACACACACACTGATTTCTCGAAATGCATACGAATTAGGTAACTGGTCAATGGTAAAAGTTGTTGAAAACATTATGCGCAATTTTGAGCAATAGTACTAGAGTGAAATATCAACAAGCCTCTGCATTTTCCATGAATTTCGTAACTTGCTGTAATCACGTTAAAAAAATTCTGTGGTTACTTTT